TTTCAAGTTATTCTTACATCTTTCACTCTTTATAGAGATAAACAATTCTTATATCTGATCATTCTTTGTATAAATAAGCAATTCTATTACTCAGTCTCTTCTTTTCTATGATATCTGCAGTATATATAATGTAAGAAATCCCGCTTCTCATGAATCCTTTACCTCTATTTCTATCTCTCGTGTAATTAATAGGGCTAGCGGCCCTTGGCTACACACAACTATATAGACTAGAGTTCGCGAATACTATTCACAACTCAGCTTAAATGCTATTATACATTTAACTTCTACATTTTATCTTTCTACTGTGAATACTTCTATGTCACGCTCCCGGCCGCGTCAAGGCCCCGTTGCGGTTCCACACGGCTCATCACTTCCATGCGGATGATTCCATTCCATTCGAACCGGTTTCCAACCACTCTATGACATCATTTGAATGTATCATAGAAAGATCTGATTAATGAATATGAGAACCCTGCTTTTATATGAGGTCAGCAGATTACTCTTTCTTGACAATAAGACACTGCTGAGGTATCACTTCAGCTATTCTCACTCATGAAATGAAAGAAGAGTATTCACTTATTATCTATATAGAATAGCTAGATACTAGCTTCTCATCAAAGAAGTCAGTGATTTATTTTACTTCTACTGAAATATATACAAGAGTTACTGCATGTCTTATACAATCTTCTTAGTATACTAAGTATCATATCTGTGATATTCTTATAATAACCTTGTAGTCTATGAGCTCACTATTCAAGCAAGATAGTTAAGCTCACTCATACAGCTTCTCAAATAACTATCTCTATATAATACTGCTAACTAGTCATCACTTCAGTTCTGTATATTACAATTCAAATCACTCAATCTGATTACATATTTGAATCAGTCAAGCTCTAACAGACTGATATGACTTTATACATCTGTGCTGAGACTGACTCAATCTCACTCTCTGAGAGAAACACTACATCATTCTCTAGAGTGTGTACATCTCTATCTCAGCAGAAATCCGAGATTTCTGAACCTACTGCATATTTTAACATGAGCTCTTCAACTGCTCTGCTATCACTGCAGCCTCTACACATCTACATCTATTATGAAGATAGAGAGATTAAGGTCAGAGATTCTTCAAGATATAAGAGAAACATCTTGTCTGAATTTCACAGCTTTATCTGTATTCTTGAACAGAAATTCCATCTTAACTCAAGCCAGTATAATACTCATAAGATATAAGTAATATACACTGTCAATCTTCTTGAAGACATCTCTGCAACTACTTGAGTTATCAAGAAGAGAAAGCTTGAGCATATCAATACTGTCATAACTTAGAAAGAATTCAAGAACTTTCTACTGAATCAAATCAAAGATCATTACAACTGCAGCTTCACAGCAGCACAGCAGTTCAACTTATTATATTAACAAGATAATGAGAATTCTTCTAATTTCAATACAAGATTTGAAGAATATTGAGAGAAATTGACTGATGATTTAAATCAATTAAAAACACAGCTTTATCTCACAAAGCTGACTCATAAGATGCAGACAATGATATTATAATATCAGAGTTCATCAATCAATTACACTGAGCTTGTCAACCTGGTTTTCTGAATCTATTTGAATAATCAATTCTCTGAGAAAAAGGCTAATAAGACCTCTTCTAAGTAATCAATAACAGAATCTAAACAGTGCTATGATAGCTTCAGTGTAAAGAAAGTAAAGAAGAATTTCAAGTATTCTGATTCTTCACTCACTGTGAAGAAATATTAAAAAAGATTTGACAAAGATCTCTGTTTCAACTGCAGAGCTAGTGATTACTATATCAGTGATTGTAAGAAATTGAAGAAGAGAAGAAACTGAGAAGATATCTTCTCAAAGTTAACTTCTCTTCTGACAAATATATCTGTGAAAGATAAAGAAGAGAAAGAAAAGAATTGACAATTCTCACATCTCTGAGTTTATATTACAATCACAATGCATACTCTGAATGAGAAGATATCAGTGAGATACCTACTTAACTTTAAGACAGATACTAACTTCATATTCTATTCCTTTTCTTTGATAAAGAATTGAAAGAAGATAGATTCATCAGACTATGTAAAATTTACTGATGAAATGAAATGTCACTGTTTTGATGTAATTCAGATGAAGTGTGTGGCCACAGACTCAGAAGAAATCTTTAAGAAGAGCAGTCTGCTTCTTCACACAGTTAATATTATAGATGAGAACATCATTCTAGATCTTCTATAATTGAGAGAAAACAATTCTCTCATTGACTGAGTCACTCAGGTGTGACAGTATCATCTCACTGATAAAGAGACAGTGATAGAAAAACCTGAAGAGTTTCATCAGAAGAATCTTGAGAAAAGAATTGAGTTAATATACTATATAGCAGATGATTGAGACTTAAAGATAGATGAAGAAGTCATCACTCTTGCTGTAAGATTAGCAGCAGTATCTGTCATTGAAGACAGATATACACAATGTCTCTTTACAGATTTTAAGAATGTCTTTTCAGAAAGAAAAGCAGTGAAGTTTCCTGATATCAAGATATAATATAAGATTCATCTTAAAGACAGTACAACAGCACTGTACAAATCTCTTTATAACTTGTCTGTAAAGAAGTTGAATGTTCTGTATAAATATCTTGAAGAAGTGTAATCAAAGAACTGAATACATTTATCAAAGAGTTCAGCAGAGATGTCTATACTCTTTATACTCAAGAAGAATGATAGACTACATCTATGTGTAGACTACAGAGGTCTCAATAAGATGATGATTAAGAATTACTATTCATTACTGTTAATTAACAAGATGATTGATTGATTATCTGAAGCAAAGATGTTCTCAAAGATTAATATACAGAATATCTATCATAGAATCAGAGTTAATGAAGATGATATTTGAAAAACAGCTTTTCATATCAAGTACAGCAATTTTGAATATCTTGTTTTATCTTTTGATCTTTGTAATGCTTCAGTCATTTTTCAGGCCTATATAAATAAGGTGCTGCAAGGCCTTGTCAACATCTTCTGCATAGTATACTTGAATGACATTCTAATCTTCTCAAAAACAGAGAAAGAACATGATACTCATGTTTAAGAAGTGTTAAGTCACTTGAGACAGTATTAACTCTATATAAATACTGAAAAATGCTTATTCTACATACAGAAGATTGATTTCTTAGATTATATTATTAAGATGAATGACATTTCAATGAACAGAAGCCAGGTCTCTGTCATTGAGAACTGATCAGTGCTGCAGATGTATCACAAGATACAGATGTTTCTAGAATTTACAAATTTCTACAGATGATTTATCTATGCATATTCACAGATTACTACTTCTCTTACAGATCTGTTGAAGAAAAGTGTGAAAGACAGAAAAACAGAACTGTTTACTCTCACTCAAGATGCTGTGCAGGTGTTTGCAGAATTGAAATAAGCTTTCATAGATGTTATAATACTGAATCACTTTAATTCTGACTTATTCAGTCAGTGTGAGACTGATGCATTTAAGAATAAAGTCTGTGAAATCTTTTCACAGTTAATATCAGAGATCTTTCAACATTGAAAGAATCAGAGAATAATCATTTCTGAGAAAACAGATAATGAATTGTCTGTAAGAGAAGACTTTTTCACAGAGTCTATAAGACACTGTAAATGAAGATCAGTGACCTTCTTCTTCAAGAAGTTATTACTTATACAGAGAAGGTATAATACTCATGATCAGAAGATGTTAGTAATTATCAAATTCTTTAAGATCTGATAATATTATCTTCAGAGTAGTAAGTACTCAGTGCAAGTTCTCACTAATTATATAAATCTGTATTACTTCTTGATAACAAAGAGCTTAACAGAACATCAAGTCAGATGAGCAGAGCTGCTTTCAGAGTATAATTTCTATATCTGATATCATTCAGATCAGCTTAATCTCACTGATATACTATCTAAGCAGCCTGATTATAATATCATTGATGTGAAGAAGAATTCTATAAAAGAACCTCTGTCATCACTGCAGAAGAAGCTGACTGCAGAGGGTTAAAATTCTCTAAAGCTCAGAAACAGTGCTGAAGAGACAGCTGTGTGACTCAGTATAGAAGATGAAAGAGAACTCAGATTCTCACAGAGAACTGATACTGAAGATTATGAGCTTCTTGTATCATATCTTACAATTATTGAATTGATAAAGAATGAAACAGTCTACAATCTTTCAATCTGACTACTTTTGAAATTCATTAATAAGTTACAGAAGAAGAATATCTCTACTACAGCTCAAATTCAGAAGTTGAAGAAGAAAGAGTTCAGTTTAAACTTGAAAGAGACAGACTCTGAGCAGAGCAGTGTTACTAAGAAATCAAGTTACTGATAACTAGAAGAATATAAACTTCTACTACTGAATAATTTAGTCTTTGTTTCTCATAGTAGAGCAGTGTATCAGAAGTTATTGAGAATTCATTATAATGATTTTCATGTGAGGCACTTCAGATTAGAGAAGACTGAGAAGCTTCTAAAATATAAATACACTTAAGACAAGCTTCAGATAGATGTCAAAGAGTATATTAAGACTTATAATATCTATTAAAGAATAAAGATTCTGCAGTATAAGTAATACAGCAAGTTAATATCACTGTCTGTTTCAAAGAGCTTATGACAGAATCTATTAATGAATTTCATAGTTGATCTGTCAAAGTTAACAAGAGTCAAAGAATATGACTTAATTTTAGTTATTATTGACTACTTCATAAAGATGATCAGATATATTTCTATTTATAAAAAGATTAAAGCCTCTGAATTAACTGATCTGTTTTTAGATATCATTATTTATGATCACAGTGCTCTGAAATTATTAATAATAGATTGAGAATTCCTCTTCATTAGCAAGTACTGATCAGCTTTTTACTATTATCTTATAATAAGATATCTTCTCAGTATCACTTTTCATCTGCAGATCAATGATCAGACTGAACATCAGAATCAGACACTAGAACAGCATCTTTAAGTATTCTATTCATCAAAAAACCGCTCCACCACGAACTCGCTCGATTTTTCGAATAAGAACCCGCCGATAGATCCATCGAAAAGCCCTCGATCATACGAGCATTTTGACCCCATCGCCGACCGCATACCCCGTGTGGTGGTGGAGTTATCCAGCCAAACGTGAACCGGACGTTGTTCGAAGCTCCTGTGTGGGATTATCCCCCGTTCTCCCCTACCACACCACAACCCCGGGCCAGAGTGCCATACAAATTGTAAGGTGAAGTGACCTAGCCATATGCACCAATCTTCTCGATTTTGGAAGACCCCCGACCTGTAGTTGTGGAGATATCCGAGGAGCGACCTCCGCGAAAACCCTGTCCATCTTTGATGTTCCAAAACACCAACGCCAAGTCTCACCCTCGTACCGCCCTTCTCAATCTGGCCCATCCCCGGCAGAAAAATACAAAAAGATACCTCGGCGATAATATCAAGCACATAATCAACGGACTCTTCTGAAGTGCAACCTCCACGGTCCGCCGCCAGTGTATCTAGACTTCAACACCAAGTCTCACCCCTGTACTACCCCTCTCAATCTGGCCCATCCCCAGCAGAACGATACAAAAAGATACCTCGGCAACAGTATTCAATACATAACCAGTGGACAACGAGTCAACAGCACACCAACAACTATAAAATCAGTATACCCCAAGGTCTGACTGAGCCTTTGATCCCTGCACAGTGAGATATATTAAATCTAGTTTTAATACCTCAATATTCAATAGATTCTGCAAGGGATTGAGAACAGCAACACTAGGTTTCTATTGAATTTGAGAATTAACTCTATATTGATATAATCATTGACAAAGTCTTCTATTTTGAGATATAAATAACCAGTTCCTCTACATCCCGCTGGCAATATTTATATTATCATATAGAAACAGACTTATATTCTCTATAATATCAAGACCCTGAAGAGGGAAAGTCTTGATAGAGGGTATACAGTAGTGCATATCTTAGCAGTTTCTATCTCATTCTTCTGCAGCAGTTAATGCAAAAAAAAAAAAAAGATCTTAGAAATAGTTTTTTACTTCTCTTGAAAAAGTAAGGTGTTTTTCTCTGGGTTTTACACAATATTCTTACAAAGAATTAAAAACAGAGTTGTTTTCTGTCATAATTTCATATTCTTTTAAGTAAGAATTACTTTTTCAGTGGCTGAAGAGCTTTCATTAATACTTAATTCTTTTTTACACTCTTTATTAACTGATTTGAGTTGCACACTTGTTGTGTGAGGAGAATTGGATGATTTAGAATAAAATTGAATAGTTTTAATCAATTTCTCTGCAAAAAATTGATTTATTTTTTATCAGTTTTTCTCTCAAAAACTGTCATATCATCTGATTTATTATCAATTGATATCATACTTTTCCTCACTGTATCCCAAGAAAGAGATTGTAAAGATTTTATTGATTTATCTTAAAAATCAATTTTAGTTTATTAGATTCTCTTCAAAAATCTAACCTAGTTACTGAACTAGTGTGAAAAAAATCAGGTGTTTTTGTCACGCTCCCGGCCGCGCCAAGGCCCCGCTGCGGTTCCACACGGCCCATCGCTTCCATGCGGATGATTCCATCCATCCCGCAGGCTGTCCGAACCGGTTTCCAACCGCCCTATGACATCATTCGGATATATCATAGGAAGATCCGATTGATGGATATGAGAACCCCGCTTCTATACAAGGTCAGCAGATTACTCTTCCTTGGCAATGAGGCGCCGCTGAGGTATCGCTCCGGCTATCCTCGCCTGTGGAATGAGAGAAGGGTATCCGCTCATTGTCTATATAGAATAGCTAGATGCTGGCTCCTCATCAAAGAAGCCAGTGATTCATTTCTTTTCTTCTACAGGAATAATATACATAAGAGTTACTGCATGCCTCATACAATCTTCTTAGTATACTAAGTACCATATCTGTGATATCCTTGCAATAACCCTGTAGCCTACAAGCTCACTATTCAAGCAAGATAGTTAAGCTCACTCATACAGCTTCTCAAACAACTATCTCTACATGACACCATCAACTAGTCACTGCTTCAGTTCTGTCATGTTACAATTCAAATCACTCAATCTGATTACACATTTGAATCAGTCAAGCTCTAACAGACTGATATGGCCTCATACACTTGCGCTGGGACTGACCTGATCTCACTCTCTGGGGGAAACACTACATCATTCCCTAGAGTGTGTACACCTCTACTCCAGCAGAAATCTGAGATTTCTGAACCTGCTGTGCACTTTGGCATGGGCCCTCCAACCGCCCTGCCACCGCCGTGGCCCCTACACACCTACATCTATCATGGAGATAGAGAGATTAAGATTGAAGATTTACTGAGATATAAGAGAAACATCTTATCTGAATTCCACAGCTTTATCTGTACTCTTGAACAGAAATTCCGCCTTAATCTGAGCCAGTATAATACTCATGAGATATAAGTAATATACACTGTCAACCTTCTTGAAGGCATCTCTGCAACTACTTGAGTCATCAAGAAGAGAGAGCTTGAGTATATCAATGCTGTCATGACTTGGGAAGAATTCAAGAACTTTCTACTGAATCAAATTGAAGATCATTACAATCACAGCTTCACAGCAGCACAGCAGTTCAACTCATTATATTAATAAGATGATGAAAATCCTTCTGATTTCAACACAAGATTTGAAGAATATTAGAAGGAATTGACTGATGATTTGAATCAATTAAAAACACAGCTTTATCTCACAAAGCTGACTCATAAAGTGCAGACAATAATATCACAGTATCAGAGTTTATTAATTAATTATACTGAGCTTGTCAATCTGACTTTCTGAATCTATTTAAATAATCAATTCTTTAAGAAAAAGACTAACAAGATCTCTTCTAAGCAATCAATGATAGAATCTAAACAGCACTATAACAGCTTCAGTATGAAGAAAGTAAAGAAGAATTCTAAGCATTCTGATTCTTCACTCACTGCAAAGAAATGCTAAAAAAGATTTGATAAAGATCTCTGTTTCAACTGTGAAGCTGATGATCACTATGTCAGTGATTATAAGAAGCTGAAGAAGAGAAGAAACTGAGAAGATATCTTCTCAAAGTTAACTTCTCTTCTGACAAATGTATTCATGAAAGATAAAGAAGAGAAAGAAAAGAATTGACAATTCTCACATCTCTGAGTTCATATTATGATCACAATGTATACTCTGAATGAGAAGATATCAGTGAGATGCCTACTTAACTCTGAGATGAATATTAACTTCATATTCTATTCCTTTTCTTTGATGAAGAATTGAAAGAAGATAGATCTGTCAGATCATGCAAAATTTATAGATGGAATGAAATATCACTGTTTTGACATAATTCAAGCAAAGTGTGTGGCTACAGACTCAGAAGAAATCTTCAAGAAGAGCAGTCTGCTTCTTCACACAGTCAATATCATAGATGAGAACATCATTCTAGATCTTCTGTGATTGAGAGAAAACAATTCTCTCATTGACTGAGTCACTCAGGTGTGATGATATCATCTCACTAATAAAGAGACAGTGATAGAGAAATCTGAAGAGTTTCATCAGAAGAATCTTGAGAAAAAGATTGAGTCAATATACTGCATAGCAGGTGATTGAGACTTGAAGATAGATGAAGAAGTCATCACCCTTGCTACAAGATTAGCAGCAGTATCTGTCATTGAAGATGAATGTATACAATGTCTCTTTATAGATTTTAAGAATGTCTTTTCAGAAAAGAAAGCAGTGAAGTTTTCTGACATCAAGATGTGACATAAGATTCATCTTGAAGATGATGCAATGATGCTGTACAGATCTCTTTACAACTTGTCTGTAAAGAAGTTGAATATTCTGTACAAATATCTTGAAGAAGCACAATCAAAGAACTGAATATATTCATCAAAGAGTTCAGCAGAGACACCTATACTCTTTGTGCTCAAGAAGAATAGTAGGCTATGTCTATGTATAGACTACAGAGGTCTCAATAAGATGATGATTAAGAATCACTATTCATTATCATTAATTAACAAGATGATCAATTGATTATCTGAAGCAAAGATGTTCTTAAAGATTGATATACAGAATATCTATCATAGAATCAGAGTTAATGAAGATGATATTTGAAAAACAGCTTTTCATATCAAGTACAGCAATTTTGAATATCTTGTTTTATCTTTTAATCTTTGTAACACTTCAGCCATCTTTTAGGTCTATATAAATGAGGCACTGCAGAGCCTTGTCAACATCTCCTGCATAGTATATCTGAACAACATTTTAATCTTCTCAAAATCAGAGAAAGAACATGATACCCATGTTCAAGAAGTGTTGAGTCACTTAAGACAGTATCAACTCTATGCAAACACTGAAAAATGCTCATTCTACATGCAGAAGATTGATTTCTTAGATTATATTATTGAGATAAATGACATTTCAATGAACAGAAGCCAGATCTCTGTCATTGAGAACTGGCCAGTGCTGCAGATGTACTGTGAGATGCAGGTGTTTCTAGAATTTATGAATTTCTATAGACAATTCATCTATACATATTCACAGATTACTGCCCCTCTTACAGATCTGTTGAAGAAAAGTGTGAAAGACAGAAAAACAGAATTATTTACTCTCACTCAAGACACTGTGCAGGCATTTACAGAATTGAAACAAGCTTTCACAGATGTCACAATGCTGAATCATTTTAATCTCAACTTACTCAGTCAGTGTGAGACTGATGCATCTGAGAATGAGATCTGTGAAATCTTTTCACAGTTGACACTGAAGGCCTTTCAATGTTAAAAGAATCAGAGAATAATCATCTCTGAGAAAACAGACAATGAATTGTCTGTGAGAGAAGGCTTTTTCACAGAGTTTATAAGATATCATGAATGAAGATCAGTGACCTTCTTCTTCAAGAAGTTATCACTCATGCAGAGAAGATATGATACTCATAATCAGAAGATATTAGTAATTGTTGAATTCTTTAAGATCTGATGACATTATCTTCAGAGTAGTAAGTACTCAGTGCAAGTTCTCACTGATCATGCAAATCTGTGTTACTTCTTGACAACAAAGAGCTTGACAGAATGTCAAGCCAGGTGAGTGAAGCTGCTTTCAGAGTATGATTTCTATATCTGATATCATTCAGATCAGCTTAACCCTGCTGACACACTGTCTAGACAGTCTGATTATAATATTGTTGATGTAGAGAAGAATTCTACAAAAGAATCTCTGTCATCACTGCAGAAGAAGCTGACTGCAGAGGATTGAGATTCTCTAAAGCTCAGAAACAGCGCTGAAGAGACAGCTGCACAACTCAGTATAGAAGATGAAAGAGAACTCAGATTCTCACAGAGAACTGACACTGAAGATCATGAGCTTCTTATATCACATCTTACAATCATTGAATTGGCAAAGAATAA